AAGGTAAAAAAAAAAAAGGAGGGGGGGTGTGGACCAAAAAAATGGTGAAAGTCCCTCATATATGAGGCACGAGAAAAAATCCTAAACTCCTCAGGCAACCAGTTGAATGAAGCACTACAAGTAACCTTGAACACAACAGGGGAAATAGACAATTCACCACATTCACTACCAGAAAAGACCAAAAGGACTACTGTAGATAAAAAAATCTAAAAGAAATCCCATGTAGTTTTTAAAGTCTCTGTTGACCCCTTATAAAGAAAAAAAACTGATATATTTTATAAAATACCCTTCAATAAATCGAGCTTACATATTCAGTATACTGTTTCAGTTACAATAATAATTTTAAAAAAATTGCGTCTGTTAGTACTTATTCGATATCAACTAAATGAAAAGCTTTACCTTTCTGTAACTTTCCAGTTGATCATCTGAGATACCTGTAGGATATGAGATTGTTACAAGGTGATTTTTTCCTGGTAACATGAAATGAAATTGTTCAGGTACCACAATTGATGTTCCCTTTCTGTATTTCATGATACATCTTTCCATGTCAGTTAATTGCCTGTGAATTGCATTCACCAGGAGATTCCGTACACTAGAAAGTACAAGGGAGAGTATTTATGAAATGGCATGGTGATGCTGAATCTTTTCTCTCAAAGCTCTGTTATGTAACACTTATATTCACCAAACTGAAAATATCTCAAGTTCTATTGTAAATACAGTCAAATTCYACCTATGTAATATACTATAGACTAATAAACAGGTTAAGAATGTAACAGCTTTACTTTATTACTTTCAGGAAAAAGCAGACATGAAAGTAAACTGAAAAGTCTCGAGTTCAGAATCATACATACTTTCCCCAAGTTTCTTCTGGAGAAACAGATACAACAACATCAACTGGTAAGGTCATATTAATATAGTGGTGTTCTTTGCTTTCCCGTTCAATGACTGGAGCCAAAGGAGCTAAGGAAGACGTCATCTCTAACATCAGGTCTATGTTGACTATCTGCTGCTGCAAAGAACAAAGACACCAAAACTATACTTCCAACACCACATGCACCAAGAAGACCAAAGGAATGATACATGGGGATTATAATCAATTCAGCAAAGAAATAATTTGATTAAAAAAAAAAAAGCTAACAGTGTTAAAAATCAAAATTTCTACATGTTAATCTGTTGTAGACAGATCTTTGCATTAATGCTGAATCTCAGCGACTCTAAAGGGCTTCATCTAAGTCATGCAAATGTCTACCTATGCAGAGGTTATGGAAAATAGATTTAGCAATTTTCAAATGTTATGTTGCTTGTTTTAACTTATTRGTGTGGTGGGACACGTACCATATCCTGTAACTTTTTATCCTTCTTTTTGCCAAGCTTTCGTCTGCCCTCATCATCATCATATCTAAGCATCAATAGAAAAAGAAATTGCTGTAACATGAAATTAATGTATTACAAGTGTGTGTATATATATATATATTTAATAAACTTACTGTATAAATCGTATTATCTCCTTGCAAGCAGAGTCATCAGTCAGTTCTGATGGAACAGTGGTCACGCCGTTGTTTGGCCACACGTAGACGGAACTGTGGCAAATCCGTAATACGAGAACATCTGAAGACAGCTTGTTTGCAAGATCACTGAAAACATATTTTAATGCTTCTTTTGTTGATGCCTCTAAAACAGAGTAAAGACAYAATTAGCTCAGAAAATTCTCTTGTTTTATGCTAGCTGCTAGACATACATTTAAAAGGAGTGTGTTTTGACTCTGCAAACAAAGTGAGCTTTCTTACGATCAGAAAAATAGCTATGTAAACAAAAATCAAAATTTCATTTTTTTCCTAACATATCTGTTTCAGGCATTCGTACTCACACCTGCCTCAACAAAAGCCTAGTATTTCTAATAATAACTTGTAAAATACAAAGAGCTGACAGAAATRCAGAAGAATAACCTACATACTAGCAAATTCTCAAATTAGTAACTAACCACACTATCAATTTCAGACAAATTTCTATGTGTACACATCTCTGTAGATATTTTTGAACAGATACTTCTCTGCATGCTTGTGTTTTTTTCTTCTAAGTAAATTCTGTTAAGACTTAATTTTACTCACAACTTACTGACTTTGTATCACTATGCAAAAATGAAAACCTAACGTATGTTAAGGTTTTGGAAAAACAGGACCTACACTCAAAGAGCAAACCTAATTTTAACCAACATAACCTGTAAGCAAGCAACACGCTGGCCAGCCTGAGTTTTTATTTATTGCTATTGATTCTTCTCTTTAAGAGCTTCATTTGACTTTGTAGCAGTTGAACCCATTACTTAGAACTAGAAGCAATACTGGATATGACAGAAATTTTTTGCAAGTTACCAGCATTGGTTTTCTTATTGAGATCAACTACCAATACTCAGAACAACAACAAAAAAACATGATATACTTATATAAATCTCATCCAAAAAGAAGACCTAATTGTCTTCAAAGTGGTCTGCCATATTCATACACTGTAGTGTTCTCTATTTTGTAGATTTGGTAGAATATTATGCTGCATTGACTCACTGTGGTTAAAATTCCTTACTCAGTAAACAAAGTCAGAGGTGTGGGCATTCCTTGAGGATGCAACAAAACATTATTATGCTTTAGGCCAATTGATTCAGCACTTCCATTTCACATCATCAGTGGAGATTAAAGTTGAAATTTCAAGTATCAATAATGAACTTACATATGTCTGTGCTAGAAACTCTTATCTAAACACAGAACGAMCAAATAGCTAAGCTACAGGTACCCTCCTCTCACCTAAGGAGTCCTGCCCTCCTCCCTATGAGAGGGAGCTCCATGACCACAAATAGCCTTAAGCAGATTTTCTGAGACGAAATCCACATTATAGCAAAGATGAAGAACTAGAGAAGCCTCTTAATGACATACATTCTTGTTATCACTGACAACTGCAGTAGCTAACCATGCCTAAATTCACTGAAGTAACTAGTTAGCTAGTTTATCATCTCTGTTTATCTAGGACTGGTCCACAACGTTAGGATTGACTCTGACATTGTGTTGGAAGTGATCCCAATACTACARTTTATAGCAGTACAAATATGTAAATAAAATAGCCTAAAACGCAAATTTAAGCCTCGCTCAAATTAAAAACATAGTAGAAGGGAAAGGTTGACAGAGGCAAAAAAAAAAAAAA